TTTACTTAATAAAATATTGAATAATAGTCAAATGTTTGCAGCAGAATTTGGTACAAGTGATCATCAGAAAGAGTTAACTACTAGAACTGATCATAAACTGATATTCTTCTAATACTCATAAATTATAAATCAATAATAACCTGCATCACTAAGTTCATCAAATTGCCTGGGACCTGTTGACCAGATGCTTCTAAATTTTTCACTAAATCTCCTACAAATTTATCTTCTTTTTGAATGATAAGTGTATAAGCTGTACCTTTCTTTTCTATACAAATTAATAAACAATTTAATAAATTATCTGAATATAATATATTATTTCATTTCTAGTTAAATTAATTTATTATATATATTATCTGCTTAGCCTGTTCTATTAATTCGATATGCATGTAAATCTATGTCATGTGCAATATCATAATTGATGACAGTCTTGATAGCCTTTATATCAAGTCCTCTTGCTAATTGTTTAATAATTTTAATAAGAGTAATAAAAACTAATAATAAAATAAAATAAAAAATCTACTTAGTTATACATATCTACTAGCTACATTAGTTGCAATCATAATTGGAAATTTATTATTTTTAAATCTTTCAACACCTTGTCATGATCAATCTGCATCATATCACCATGCAATGCTTCACCTATTTATATTAAAACAAGATTTATCAAATAAAGATACTTCAAAAAGGTACTTTAAAATGAAATTTTGAACTTATATTTATAACCAACTTAGGTCAAATTGCTTAACAGTGCTTTAATGCCATCTTTTCAACTAACAGAAATAAGAATACTACTCTCTTGATAGTAGAAAATGGTATATTAACTTAAAAATTTAAATTCAATTGATTAATGCAGACAGAGTAAAGCTTACCAACATGAAATAATACTAAATGGTTCATTAACTAACTCCATTTGTATCTGTCATCAGCCAAAATTTCTATCTTTGGCATAATATTAGTATTCATTTATAATTTATTCACATTGTTAAAATTAAAATATTATATCTAAAAAATACGTATAAAAAATGCAAAAAGTAGTTGGCCAACACTACTAATGAAAATTCTGATAATAAGATTTATTTTTAGAAATCTAATATTGACATACCATCTTACTTGATTCAAGTGCTGCACAAATTATTTTATGATATAAAAAATATAGATACACAAGCTTTTTTAAGCATTGTTGTCCTGTGATAATAGAAAAGCATCTCAAAATAAATTAAATAATTTATACAAACAGAACTTCTATATTTTTTTTGTTGATCTTAACAGGCACAAAATACTCCTACAGATAATAGCTCTTATATCTGAGATTTTAACTCTAATTTGAATCTATATGATTTGATATTTATATTTTCTAATAGCCTTTATATTTTAATAAATATCAGTTATCACATTTGTTCATGCAGTGCTGAAACAAGTAATTTCAAAGGATTTTTGAAGTATAATGATCATTAACTGATATTTAAATGTAATATGAATATTTAAAAATAATTGAAATATTTATCATTATTATTCTCATTACATATTATTATTATTATTATCATTTTAATATTAGCTGTAGAAAAGTTTATCATGCTTAGGTATTATAAAGAACTCTCATTGCACTATGTTTTGGATAAATTCAAAGTATATCTGGTTTATCTGTTACATATTTTATTATATATATACAGTATAGTTCTAAATATTGAATTTAAGATCAAGCAGTACAAGTGGCTTTTTGTAAAGAGTAATTAAAATAACAAAGTTGTAGCTGATAAGAGATCTGAACTATTATATAAATTATCTGATAGATATATGATTATTTGAATTCATTATTGAAAACATACATCATTAATACATACCTTAATATTTAGTAATTATTGTTTATATTGTATTTGCAAAAACTTAAGAAACAATTCTTAGACAATAATATCTTGGAATATTTAACTGTTCAATTTCTTTCAAAAGGATTGAAAAATATGACTTCAGTAATATGTAACACCTAATGTGAAAATTAACATAACCTATATGATGCTTTTTAAAATAGTGTACCATGTAATAAAATATTGTAAATATTAATATTATATGAGAAAAATTCAATTAGATTCATAAATTCAGATATTTGTTATTAAAACATACTCTATGTACTTTGTACTCTATTTCTGATATACTGTATTTTAGTAAAAAATTTTGTTCAAATTTGATATTCAAATTTGATTTAACTGCTATGATGTTCATAATCATTATAATGTCCGAATTTGATTGCTATAATGTCTGAATTTGATTGCTATAATGTCTAAATTTGATTGCTATAATGTCCGAATTTAATTGCTATAGTGTCTGAATTTGATTGCCATAGTGTCTGAATTTGATCATTATGGTGTCTGAAACTGATTTCTATAGTGTCTGAATTTGATTTTACTGATGTCTGAATTTGATTGCTCTAATGTCTGAATTTGATTGCTTTAATGTTTGAATTTGATTGCTACAGAGTCCTAATTTGGTTACTACAATGTCCAAATTTGATTGCAATAATGTCCAAATTTGATTGCAACAATGCCTGAATTTGATTGCAACAGTGTCCAAATTTGGTATACAAAACTGATATCTTTACATCATTCAATTCTACAAGCATTGGTTATCTTTTTTTTGGTAGAAGTTTTTTTTTAACACTTTTATTTTTGTTGCTTTCAGCATGTTTTGTTCTTACAACTACACAAGTTATACTTTTTAACTGTTTTTAAAACTAAAGCTGATATTTTTTTTAATTGCAATAGTTGATTTTCTTTTTGTAATTGTTATTAATTTGGTATTTTTTTGAGCAGTTTTTTATTTAACAACTTGCTGTTTCTTAATAGATGCCATTTTGTCTGAATGAATTAATAAAAAGAACTATATTATAAAATATTTCTCATACCAAAATGTTTGAATGTAACAAGATATGTAATATAAATTTGAAATTGATTGCAACAAATTTAATATGAAATACTAATATTATGTAGATGATAGTAACTAGAAGAAAAATTTGTAAATAAAAAATTATGATATCTATTTTAAGTTTGAATTTACTATATTGTTTACATAATTCAGAATAATTTATTATTTAAATTTTGTAAAAATTGAGAGGACTCAGATATTTATATAGTTTCTGAAAACTCTGATCTATTCTTTAGATTTTCAGGACTCATTTTCCACATTTTTGCAATTGCTTTCATAGTCTCAATACTATTTTTATATTGTAAAAATATTTCTTCATAATTATCTCTCATGAATTGCTAATACTTGATTAGTTTTTTTTCTTTTACATCTTCTTCTTCTGTTTTGTTTTTTTGTTTTTATGTTTTTTTACTTTTGATTTATTAACATTATAAATAATTTCTTTAAGTTTTTTTATGTTTTCTAAGTTTGTTATAGCATAATTAGGATTATTATCTAATATTTTTCTTATTAATTTATCTTTGTTTTTTGATCTTTTTATAAGCTGTTTAAGTTTATTATTATTAACTTTACCCATTATATTTTGTAAGAAAAAATATAAAAAGTTGTGTATTTATATGATTTCACATTATAGATAAAGTAAAAGAGTTATTTAATAAAATTAATAAGATTATCAAGCTAATAAAAGATGATAAAGCAGATTACTTAAAATCTCTAAATCAATTAAAAGAAACATGAATTTAAATTTTTCAAAATGTTAAGGAAATGCTTTAAAACAAACAAAAAGAAATTGATGCATTAATTTTAGTAAATAATGTTTTATTAACTGAATCTAATTACTACAAAACATATTGGTTTTTAAAGTTATTTGATGAAACATCTGATTGGTTAAAAGATCTAATTATTGATATTGTTAAGAAATATACACTTGCACTATTAAATTAATTTATACAAATTTCAGTAGTTAAAGATTATTTATTTAATTTCTTATTTAAACTTGTTTTATTAAAAACAACTTCTATAGTAGTTATTTTTTTTAGTTTTTATTAAGATATTGTTTAAAGGGATAGAGTCCCATAGCCTAGTGGTCTAGGTGCCCCTCCCTCTACAGACAAGGTCAATAGTTCAATTCCAGCTGGAGGCAAAACTCTGTAATCTACAGAAGCATATAAATGCACATGAAGCCCTGTGGCTCAAAGTTCATGTGAATAGAAGATCAGTATATAAGGAAGTTCTCGGAAAGAAGTTTTCCGATATGGAGAGTTGGCGCTTGATGTGAGAGAAGTGGTAAACATATCAGAAATGGAGAGAAGGCATACTAGCGACTGATGTGGTGAACATAAAAGAAAACTATGGGAAAGGAATGAATTTACTGAAACTCGAACACCTCTGGTACCAAAACCAGTTTAGTGGATATGGGTTACACTAACATGAATAAAAATCTAAGGGAGGTAATCTTGGTACTATACTTAGTAAGTTTGCGTCAAGGGTAAATTTGAAGAACTATGGATACTCTGTAACATCCAATGAGGTGGTACCTTGATATAAATAGTAATTAGATAGCCCTAACCTGGTATGTCCATGTAGTAATAGAAGGTTGTAATGCATAGGATTGAAAATCAGAAAGTTTAAATAGGGGATCTATAGGCAGATCTCAGGTATGGTAGCTAGTAGGTAACCCTTGGGCGGAACTCTTAATTAGATAATGACTAAAGTTATATGTATGGCTAGTTATACTTTCGTTGATAAACTATGTATTCATTAATAACTAGATATTATTCAATAAAAGACAGACAGGCAAGATTGCTGCTTATAACACAAAAAAAAAAATTTAAGATATTGTTTAATAAGGATTATAGAATTATTTATTTAGAACTTTTATTTCTTTATATTTAGAATTTATTATATAAATTATATTTTCAAAATAGACATGATTTGTTATATAATATAATTTTATTAAAATTTTATGTAAGTGACTTTAAAAAGCATTATAAAGATGCTTCTATAATATATAAATAAAGCCAAAGACCCACATTATAATAAACAAAAAAATCAATAACTATAAAATTGTTTTATAAATGTTTTTATAATTATTTTTAAATAAAAAATCTGTAACTTGTGTATATAATATGATTATTAAATATAATACTAATATAATTAAAAAAAATTTTAAAACAATACCTATATACATAATAAAGAAATTTTCAAAACCTATAGTACATATAATATACTTCTGAGAATTGCAATATGAAACTATTAAGCTAAAAAAGAATTAGTTACTATAGAGATATTAAATAAATTAGATTAATTAATTGAATATATATATCAAGCATTTTTTTTTTTATTGAATAAACACAAAATATATTTATAGTTTATAATATTTTTATTATTAAAAAAGAACAAGATTAAAAATTAATAATAAAAATAAAAAAAAACAACAGATATATACATTTAATGTTTTTTAATTGTTAAAGAAAGAAAAAAAACTATGCGAAGTGTAACATTATACAGTACATGTACATAGAGGAATGTAAAACTGGTATCGTATAAGGCTTCGGGCAAATCCACGATAAGACCACTGGGTGTAGAAGGCTAAGAAACTGAAGAGACAAAAACCTCCTTGGAAATCCTGAGTAAAGAGGTAGTACAAACTTTCGATGGTGCCATAGGACTGATGGAAGCCCATGAAACACCTTCATAGGAACTGTTGGATAAACCAGATGACAAAGATGTGTAGAGAAGCATATGACCAACCAGGCCACCAAAATCACCGGAGGAAAAGGATACATAAGTATACCATACCGGGCCATCTGTATTGGAAGTCTGGGGAAGTCTGTTGTTGGTTCCGAGTTGCAGCTAGTAGGGAATGATGGAGAAGAAGTCAGAAAAATGAGTACCAGGGTTTGGGTGAACTTTACAAGGGTAATAGCGGTTTAAGGGGTAACCCTGATTGCAAGTGTTAGCCCCAGTCATAGTGTCAAACCAGGTTAGCAGTAAAAGGAAATACAGCTCGCTCTGGTAGGTTTACCTTG